AACTCTGATTATTGGTAATGATACACCAAACCAGACCAAATTAACACGCCCGCAGTGACTGACACAGGTGCTCGACATGGGGCGGCGCCTCCCTCGCCCGTGCGGCGCGTACCTTCTCGCTGCCGACGTAGTCGATGGTACAGAATCTGCCAGCGACGAGGTCGAAGACGTTGCGCTTGACTGTCTCGGCTGAGGGCCATCGCACGCCCCGGGACGATATCGATGTAGAACCGCTCACAGTCTTGCTGGGGGGAGGTGGCTGACACACACACAACCACACAACCACACAACCACACAACCACAACCAACAGCAGTAGACAAACACGTCAGTTGTGTGCCTTCCCTCCCTCCCTCCCTCCCTCCCTGCCCCCGCCCCTATGTGTGTGGTCTGCTTACCTCTTTCGGCGGAGCCGCAGTTGGCTCCTCGCCGGCCATCCCGCCCTAACCTCTCCGCTGCTGCTGTTGTAAAGAACTTCTCCTTTGGAAGCGGGGTGGTAGACAGACGACAGACACTCACTCACCAAACACACACACACAGGGCGGCACAGGCCGAGCCCAAGGCCAGCCGGCAGAGGACCGAGCCGCTCGGCTGGCTGGGCCCTCTACCCTCTGTTAGTTAGTACCGCTGCTGCTGGCTCTTGGTTGCCTGTCTTGTCAGCCGCCAATTCAACTCGGCCTCTGGTGGGCAGGGTATTGTTCCGACAGCAATATATGGCCTCTTTGCTCCCCCAGGCTATATATTGCCGTGTCTACTGTCTTGTCTGTGGTGGTCTGTGTGTGCGTCCGTCGTCGGACGTCACTCCCGTTGGAACGCCTCGCCTCGGCGAAATAATAGTACGCCGCGACCTCGCCGTTACATCAAGCACGCCTTTCGGGAGGGGGAGAGCAAGGGAACAGCACAGCCGCAGGACGGAAACCAAGACGAGAACCCCCCTCCGACACTGTCCCACTGTTTCTGCCGCTGCGAGCTTGGAATCCGCAGAAGGGATAACGTTGTTGTCGGTGCTGGGTCAGCCCAGCTGCCCCCCCCTCCAGCAATCGGCACCTGCAGCCGGTCGGCGTGTTCTTTGATCTGTGTGTGTGTGTGTGATGGCGGCCAAATACACGACAGTGGGGAACGCTGCGGCGCGAGAGGGGGAGGGAGGCGCCGGGACACTCGGCAGACGGTGGTCTATCATCGGAGCTGGTATTATTGTAGATATCAGAGGGAAATTGGACCATTTGATGGTGTGGATCTGTGTTGTGTGTTGTGTGTGACAGTGTTGCTGGTGTTTCTTGTAGCGAATGTGGGGCTGTTGCTGCTGAGGTGTCTGGAAGACCTATCGCAGCTCAAGAAGAGCATCGACGCCATGAGGTACCGAGGGAGATGGAGAGATAAAATACAGACACAGGGCGCAGAACAGAGAATTCGCCGTCTGTTTCTGTTGGGTGTGTGTGTGTTCTGGTCAGGACTTTGCAAGTATCGCACCTATCGGATAATGCTTCTGTGACCACTAGTGGGGCAGGGCAGGTACGCCATCCAATGCGTGTGTTCAAACCTATAGAGCGACTTATCTATGTGTTCGCAGGACAGCAGCGATGGCGTCGTGGGCGAGTGGCAGGTCACACAGATCGTCCAAAAGCTGCTTAGAGGTGAGATGAGGTGCGCTGCAATCAACGCCTGCAGACGCGCAATGCCATGAGCAGCATATGGCTGGATATGCTAATTGGCCCACAGGTGCTGGTCTTCGGTCGTCTGACGCGACGTCGACGGACCAGCAGCAGCAGCCCATCAAGCAGAAGAGTGCTGCCGCGCCGCCCGCTCCCTTTGCTCTCATGGCTGAGGTACACACACGTGGGCAGATTAACTGTGACAGACACGCACAGCGTGGGGGCAGGAGAGGAGGCTGTGTGTATTGTGGAGGTCTGTCTGTGTGCGTTGCGGTGCTTTGCAGGAGTCGCTTGGCTTCTACGATGCAAGTCAGTACTCGGAGGCTCAGAGGTGGGAGCTGAAGAAGCGGAACAGAGCCGTCATGTGGCACAGACAAGTAAGCAAGCACAAGGATGGGATCGAGTGGCTCCGTGTGGGTGAGTGAATGAGGGCGTGTGTTGTGTGTATCTGAGAGTGCAGATGGATCCCAACTGGTTGAGCAAGATCTCCCTGGTCAGGGGCCACGGCGCCACCTTCTACCAGATGTTCTTCGAGCCCGACTGGAGCTGCGAGTCAGTCGGCACAGACACCTCACTCATCTCACCTCATCCAGCGCGTCTGTGCGATTGTTTGTGCTGTCTGGCAGGTTTGAGATGCGATTGGGCACTCTGGGCGATGGCGGCAAGTGGGTCTGTGACCCTGACAGGATCATTTCACGTAGCAAGGCTTCGGGCAAGCCCTGTCTGGTGTACTCTGTGGGGGGGTCCAACGAGGTCGGTGAGAGGGATATGGATGGATGGATGGAGGGGCGGGCTGTGTGAACACCCACACCCACACCGCCCTTGTCTGTCTGTCTGTCTGTCTGTTTGTCTGGTGTGCTCTGTTCTGCTCAGTGGTCTTTCGAGGACAGCGTATACAAGACACTCGGCTGCGAAGTCCACACCGTACGCAACTCAGGGGCAGGCAGGGAGGGACACACACATATGGCGATCCCCGTCTGTCTGTCACTGGTGTGTGTGGGTGTGCGGGCGGGCGGGCGGATGGCTGCAGTTTGATCACACTGTCGCGACTCCGAAGGCCAAGCCCGAGCACATCAACTTCCACAGATGGGGGATCGACCAGCCGGGCAGGGGGTAAGTCAGATCAAATGGGCGTCTCCCTCCCTCCCTCCCATTGATGTGTGTGGTGTGCGATGTGTTCAGGGCCAGCCTGCAGGCCGACAACCCCGGGCCCCTCACAGCAGGCTTGAACGAGATCATCACGTGAGCGAGAGTGAAATGGGTGGCTTTGCGGGGGGATGCATAGCTATGCACACACCACACCACACACACCGTGTGTGTGGATGTGGTCAGTGCACTGGGCCACGAGAACCGCGAGATTGATATTTTCAAGATCGATGTTGAGGGCGCCGAGTGAGCGCAGCGCGGAAGCGCACAGAGCGAGAGAGAGAGCGAGGCATCACCCTCTCTCTGTGTGTGTGTGTGTTTCAATGATCAGGTTCAAGTCGCTTACCCCATTGCTGACATCTGGAGCATGGAGGAAGAAGCCCCCAATACGACAGGCGAGCAAGGACC